TAGTTATTGTTTACTATTTGCAGACATATTGTTAATCCAAGCAATTAATTAATGTATAAAATATATAATGATATAGAGTAAACTACACATGGTACCGACGAATTTAATTTTCGTAGTTGAATTGAATTAAATAAATAACTGCATCCAACAAGGACAATGAGTTCCCAAGAAAATAAATTGTTAAACATTTTCAATAGGTATAATGCTTCGTTATATTTTCATATTTTCAATATGTTTACTATAGATTGTTTTTACTCATAATTAAAATACCTCTTGTGTATATACACTACTGCATAGTTAATAGTATTAGAAAGCTAATTCATTATTATTTTAGTTAGAATATAATAAAAGCAAGCAATTAATAAATGTATAAAATATATAATGATATAGAGTAAACTGCACATGGTACCTATGAATTTAATATTCGTAGTTGAATTGAATTAAATAAATAACTGCATCCATCTGAACTGATATTTACAAAAATACATTACTTCAGTTGCAAACTTAGTTAACGTAAAACACATTCCACAACGACCAACACTAATGGCACTTAAGTGATAAAAAACCGCGGACGTACGTAGAATTATTTAATTATCGCGATTAACCAGTTTTTAATTTTAAAACTTCTTTTTGTTTATGTTTTAATGTAATCTTTCATTTAAAATTTTAACAGCTATATTCTCATGATAGTTCAATCGTTAAATTCATAAACTAATATTATCTATTATTGGAATTTTAAATAAATTAATTTATACTATGCTTTTATTATAGTAATGAAATGTACGCCCATTAACATATGTATTGTACTCACAATGTCTGTATAAAGCTACCCTACCTGAAATTTTTTTAATAATCCTTGCTGTTAAAAAAAAATAAGGTTTTCTCGTATTATGAAGTGCAGACTGCCTAGGCAATTTTACCATGTGGGTAAGTAAAAGGCGAATTTGCTAATTTGAAATTTATCTTCCTAAAACGTGATATTACGAAAATCAAAATAATGATTTATCTAATTCTTTTGTGGTAATTTTAACTGTTTTTCTAATTTCGAAAATGTGATCTATGAAGTTCACATAGCCATAAATAATAACAGAGATAATCATAAAGAATGAAGTACATATTGAATTAATTATTTGTTACTGAAAAGACAATTAAATGAAATTGTTTGGCAGCAAAAATAATTTATGTAGACAGTTCTCAATTAACAATTCGGAACTGTCAGACTCCTGGTGTGCGTTAGAGCCGACCAAATTCACGCAATTTGCCCTATTTTTATTTTTAGCGTTTTTCTGAGTCCACACAATGACCCCTAACATCCGAATGAAAAGTCCGATATCGATGGAAGTGTTATCAAAATTTTCTAGAGATCCTGTGCTCTTGCGGGGATAATAAAAGCGCCCACCTACGATATTTCGTTTGAAAGTTATAGATGTCGAAAGCTTTGGCCTAGTGTTATTTTTGAAATCGAGAATTGAACGCTTTGGAGAACATATCTGGCGAACCATTAGAGATAGCGCAAAAATTCTTGCAGCAATGGATGGCCCGCATCGTCGCGAACAGAAAAAACTTAATTTCGAAACAAAATAAAATAATAAAAATTTTGAAAATTTTGAATTTCTGGTCGGCACAGATTTCGACCGCACATGTCCTATAATGTTCGCACTGAGCCGGGGCATCCGTCTGTGAAAGAATTTTTCAGAAAAGTCCAACCGTTCCGCAGCTACGGGCTTCGAAAGGTCAAATTTGAAAATATTGCGCTCACGGACATGGCCGCGTTTGAAAATTCATAGCTCCGCAGCATGACGTCTCATACATACCAAACATGGCTCATTCGAAGCCCAATAAGTGAGAGAAGTTTTCGACGAAAACGGTTTGGAACTGTGACATTCCTGGCCTGCGTTAGAGCCGACCAAATTCACGCAATTTGCCCTATTTTTATTTTTAGCGTTTTTCTGAGTCCACAGGATGACCCATAACTTCCGATTGAATGGTCCGATATCGATGGAAGTGTTATCAAAATTTTCTAGAGATGCTGCGCAATGCGTGGATAATAAAAGCGCCCATCTACGAAATTTCGTTTAAAAGTTATAGCTGTCGAAAGCTTTTGCCTGTCAAATTTGAAAATATTGCGCTCACGGACATGATGGCGTTTGAAAATTCATAGCTCCGCAGCATGACGTTTCATACATACCAAACATGGCTCGTTCGAAGCCCAATAAGTGAGAGAAGTTTTCGACGAAAACGGTTTGGAACTGTGACATTCCTGGCCTGCGTTAGAGCCGACCAAATTTACGCAATTTGCCCTATATTTATTTTTAGCGTTTTTCTGAGTCCACACAATGACCCCTAACTTCCGAATGGAAAGCCCGATATCGATGGAAGTGTTATCAAAATTTTCTAGAGATCCTGTGCTCTGCGGGGATTATAAAAGCGCCCACCTACGATATTTCGTTTGAAAGTTATAGATGTCGAAAGCTTTGGCCTAGTGCTATTTTTGAAATCGAGAATTGAACGCTTTGGAGAACATATCTGGCGAACCATTAGAGATGGCGCAAAAATTCTTGCACCAATGGATGGCCCGCATCGTCCCGAACAGGAAAAACTTAATTTCGAAATAAAAAAAAATATTCAAAATTTTGAAAATTATTACTCGATGGGTACATAATAAGGTATAAAAATAAAAAATTCTACTCATCTTTTTTATGTTGCTAATAGCCAGTGTATTATTCGGATTGCAAAAGAGTTCTCCAATTCCAACCGCAAGACATTTAGTAGTAAGTGCTATGAAGTTGGGTTAGTTCTGTTTCCCGTTAGAGTAAATTGATTTAACGAAAAAAACCTATTGCTAATTAAGTAGTTATTTATGAAATTTCGTTTTTCATTTTATATATATTAACAAATTCGAAAAATATATACACTTAGTTTTACTATTTTCCTCTGGTCTCGCAAATGATGTTGACGGAGTAATTTTTTTAAAAAATAAACTAGCTCGCCTACACTATATACGCTACACTATACACTGTAACTCTTCAGGTAAAATGGCACACACGCCATAAAGGAATCCTTGGCTATTCGCATTGTTCTTACTTCAACAACCAACATTTAACAATAATTTCACTATTAAATTAAAACATCTTAATTACGTTTGGGTTGCGAGTTCAAAGCGAAGAACTAGTCATAACTAAATGTAATTGCATTAGAAGAGGGATGTATAAATTGTCGTTAGAATTTGCAATGCGCAGGGGACCATACGATCCTTAGTTATGAATATGCAAATGCTATCTTTGTGTAAGTATAGTTTAACGTTATATGTGCATATATTTTGATAGAGGGAATACTATAATATTATTGATAGGTTCCGTTGGCGTGATTGACACAGTCTTAACGAACCAACCTAAAACGTAAAACATTTAACAAAAGTTATTTATACACTAACCACGAATAGAAAATACCACAAATGGCGCGGTAAACGCCATCTGTAGTTCGAATTATATTATTAACCACGAATGTTACATATTTGTTCGTACAGACTATGTCAATCGCGTAATGAGATCAGTTCCAGATTATTCCTCTCAATTAAAAATAATGTCGAAGTAATCGACATATATATGTCTCAAAAAATACTTACACGTCCAATTATTGAGAAACTTTAAATGCCATTTGTGCTCTGTCAACCTGAAAACAAAGACGAAGTCACTTGATAGTAAATTAAGAATGGTTCACGCTACACCGTTTCGGGTCCGTATTACGCACGTACTGAGTCCGTACTATCAACCCTAGACCAAGTTATGCAGTCATGCTACACTGAGCTAAAAGTTAGTATTAGTAAAAGGAAATATTTAACGTAACGATTGCTGGCTGGTAAGCCGGTGCCATCCATATCCAAATTTTGGATCCGAGACAAGGGCAAGCGTCGTCCGAGTCATGGACAGTACACGGCGTAATATGAGTTATTTCAAAAAGAATGTCTAGTACAATTTATGCCAGTATCCCGAAACGGTGTAGTATTAATAATCCTATAGTCTTTTTGGAAGAAAAGAATATAATTTAGTTGTTTTCGTTTTATAAGTAAGTAGATACTTAACAAAGGATAACAAGCAATTCACATTTTTACGTATGTATACATATCAAAAAAAAAAGCTTTTCCATATTATAAGATCACAACATTGTATTTTCAAGTTTTTACGTTGTATTTTTCGAGAAATACGTGCTTGTATCGAAAAAATAACATTTTTCAAGCAGTCCTGACAATCGTCGACTGATTGATGTTTTTTCTGTAACCGAAACACATTTTTTGTAGATTGAACCGGGTCCCCAGCGACAGGCTTTATATAATTAAGTCGAAGAACGTGTAGCTTTTCATCGAAATCGTGATGGCGCTGACGCAATTATATCTTCCGTCTTTTTTCCTTGTTATTTTTCGTTCTTGTTAGTAATTGAATACTAAGCCTTAGGGACAGTAGATATTTTAAAATTTCTTATCAAATTAAAAGGGGTCGTCGAAATCCACTAAAAATCTACCGAACGTAACAGCTATACCGTGGGTTCAGTTTGACAAGTCGATATCCTTAAATCGAAAAGAACCTTGTCAACATTAATCAACTCATAATTAATTGAAAATCTCTACACATGGCATTCATTACGCTATTTATTGAATGCTGCTTGATGACCAAAAGTTGATCGATCTGTTAGAACTGTCTGCTGCGCGGCGTGCCGATGAGAACCAAATAGTTCGAAAATCACCGTATCATCAGCATAATTTTTCATTAAGCTTATGTGACAATCATATGTAACATTTAAGCAATTTGAACGAAAAATTGAACTCCGTAATTCATTGAAAAAGCAATGAAAAGGCTATTGAACCGTCTCGCGATACACCTACATGGAAAATAAATTAACAAGTGAAGTCTGCCTCAGGTGAAGCGAAAGGGCATGCAAATTTTCCACGTTAGTCGCGCCTGGGAAGGTGCGAATTTTGTCGTCGTGTTACAATTTGCGCTCACAGGGTTATCACCCTTCGCTGTTGCGAATGTTTCGAGAGGAACGTTAAATAAACCGGTCCAGAGAGAGGAACAGGCAACCAAGCCAGCCTGGCATTCCCGAAATTAAATGCGGTTGGATAGTTCGCCGCCAAAGGCAACCACCGGATGTGACGTTAGTATTCCTATTACACGCACGAAAGCACTTCTGGTGCAACGCAACCACGAATTTGTCTCATGCAGGACTTTGCAACTTCTGTTCCATTTTCTCTATCGTTTACTTTTGTTCTTTTTTCTACAACACGAGAACTATCAAAGACAACTTGCTGGATGTATCTCAGTTAGAAATTTATACTGCTAGAAGAAATTCAACAATAAAATTGAAATTTAATAAGGAAATCGGAAACTAACTAGCTTAATAATACCACATTTGTATGAACTAACGTCGTGATTTTTCCTAAAACGTGATAAATACATTATAATACGTACGTATATGTGTATGATCCTTATCAAATTACTTATTTCGGGGCTAATCATTTTCTCATTTACCATTCTATTACCTTAACTTCTCATACGTCTAAAATTTTAACTAAAATCGTACAGAGAAGGAAAATATAGTTGAAAATTTAAGAGATATCCAATTAGGGTTTAGACTTAAAAAAAGGAGAAGGCGTATACATAAGACTCGTAGATTTTGACAATGTTAAAGATGTTATATATATTTAAGGATGTAAGGATAAGATTTAGGGAAAAAAGAGTAATATATATATGTAGTTTATATAAGCATCAGCAGGTAGTTATATACAATTTGTGCAACATCGTAGAGAAGTACCCAGGGGCACAACAAGGGAGAGTCCACGGGTGGCTGAGCCCCCACTCGATTGGGTTGGGCACCCAATTAAAGTTCGGTTCAACTAGTTCAAGCGCGTAAATGAGCAGCCGAACTCGATCTTTTCAGATTATACACACCCACAGTGTATAAATATTTATAGTATTATGATGGGAGCACCCAGTTAAACTGTAACGTTGTTGCGCCCCTGGAAGTACCTAAATCTTCGGGAGGGAGTTAAACATTATTACCGGTACCTTTATTAGGTTCAAAACAACTTTAGGTAATTGTATAGAATCTGACAATGAGATATTAGACTCAGCTTTAAATAAAAAGGAAGCGATACTGATAGATACTGAAAATTTACAAAACTAAAAAAAAAATGTTAGCATGCAAGCGATGATCATGATGATCAAAACGACCTTTTCATTTGTAGTACCGAGTAGAATTACAAAAGAAAAACTGTTAGCAGGTTTTAAAATGGGTAATTCAAAATTGGGAAAGCGATCCGAAATTACAGTATCTCATTAGCTTTCACGGTTAGTATTGTATGTAAAACAGTAAATGAGTTTCTAGGTAGTGTTGTTATGACCTTTGCTTATACAATCCCAAGCCAGAAATAATCTGTTTATCTAAAATTAGGTGATTTTCTCATACATATATGTTAATTAAGTAACTGAAATAAATGCGCAGTTTCTAGTGGAAACAAGCAGAAGACTGGTAAATCTAATATTGTTTCTATCTAAAATACGCCTTCAATTATTGCATTGTTGGATTGGGAATAGTACAATTTCCGCGTGTAGGTTTATTTAGTAGATGCCGACTTTTAGTGGCTTCTTGTATCTCTCTCTCTCTCTCTTCTAATGTATATTTTCTAGAAATAACAATTTGACAAGAAGTCGAACTTATCTCGTAACGTAAACCAATGCGAGTCGTATTTGTACTAAACTTGGAAGTGTATTTAGCTACTTGGAATTTCAGAAATGTTTATCAAGTGATCACTCAATTTATCACGAATATGCCTAACCTAAATGGATATTAGGTGGAATATGTTTCAGCTTTTGGTTGCCACCCATATATAACTTTAAGGAAATAAGGCAGGCGCCCTTCAAGACACAGTTAATGGTAATAATAAATTAGAGTGGCTAATTACTCACGTTGAATACACGAAAAGGTTGTTCACGTGTTTAAGTTGTTGGAGGCCTTCGCTCGCTAACTCGTTCATTCAGCCGTTCGCCCGCTCCTAAGGCGAAACAGCGTTTAAGTTTGAATTGCAAATGAATATAATCAATTACAACTCTTACTGTTCGCATTTCAAATTTGCCGAACAGTCAAGATCAATTTTCCTATTTGATTCTAAAAGCATATTGAATCGATTGTTTACATCATTTTAATTAATTCCAAGTTCCAGACTGTAATTCCCAAACGAATGGGAAACTCGCAAGTTTAGGAAGTGGATAAAAGCTCTTCATCAAACCTACGCCCCGAATGACAGACGTGACGGGAAAGTCCTGATAGAAAATCGCTGTTTCCCATAAGCTCTTAGCATATTATTGCGATTAATTTTATCTAATTGTCTTACAAAAGACGGTCTCGATGTATAGTCTATAGATTCTCTAAATGACACTGGATTAAATTTCAATTGGAATGGAATATTTGTTACGTTAGATGAACGACAAAATTGAAGAAATTCTACTGGAATTGTGGATAGAATAAATACACCAATAGCAGTTTTACTATTAAACACATAAAATCGCTTACAATGTTTAAAAATTAAAGGTAAATACTGTTCGTTTCAAGAAGTTAGAGATATGCCCCTTCCCTTTATTAGGATGCGCCGTAGCATAATTCCAAATTCAATCATATTTGTCTGCGGAGCTCATTTCTCCACCGATCATCGAGCGAGAACTAGACAAAAGTGTACAGTACCATTTGCAAAATTATTTAAACTACCTCGTTAAAATTTAAGAATATGCTTTATTTAAAAGCATATTTAGCTAAAAATAATAACAAGTGAATTAACTTAACGCTCTACACACCTATAAAACTTTTGCTTTGTTGTCTATTGTTAATTTATATACATTTTTGTTTTAAAAAATTGCTAAACATTTTCGTCTAGTACTGTACAGTTCTAGCCGATCTCCTAAGACCGCCCATCTAAAGCTCTGCTCGTTCAAGCTCGTTCCAACTATTTCTGTCTTGCTCACGCCTAGTGTGTATTCTTTCTATCTTCGCGCAGATTTTTTCAAGGTCACAATTCTAACAAATTGAAATAGACTGTACATTGTGATATTATTCTTACTACTTTTTACTAAAATCTAGGGATTTGAAATTGAGGGAAAAATTTTTGGAGCGCTTTATAGGAATGTACTAAAAAGGGATTTTTTAAATACGGTGAAAGGATGGTAAATAATATGGGTCCCACGCTCGAAGGGGAGTAATGAGTGGATTATAGAGGGAGTGGAGATAATCTTGTACAGCAACAACAAAAATGTTTTTAGTTAGGGCCAAAGGTGCATGGGATGAAGACGAAAAATGCAGTTGCAACTTATTTAAATTCGTCAAATTATAATATGATAAGCAAACATGTTTTAGTTAGTCCCTGGTACTTTACAACAACATAACATACATATGTAGATACACATACTCCCTTAACAAAAGTAATTGCGATCAATACAATGCGAGACATAGCGAATATGTAAATCCATTTTGCGTATTGCTTCCGATCGTGCTCAAACGCTAAGGAATTATCCGGGATTTACATACCGAGCAAAGCTCAAAATTACTCATGTATTATTATATCCTTTAAGAGAGAGGAAGATGACGTCAATCGCTTTCTTCCTGAACATATTGGACTTCTGAAAATG